CTCACCTCACCTCTTCCGCAACCCTCCCTCCCCCCTTCCCTCCCCTCCTCCTCCTCCTCCTCCTCCTCCCCCACCACCACCACCTCCCTTCCTTCGAACGTAATGAAAACCGCAACCGAATTTCCACGCGGAAAAGTAAAAACAACAGGATAGGGAAGGGTTCCACTTGGCCAGGGACAATCTGCTTTACCGCGATCAATGATTGGCAATTTGCAAAAATCCCTCGGCGGTTTCGCCCGCTCGGATTTACGTCGTTACGTGACCGTACAAATGCGCGGCCATCAAATGGATTTGCGGTCCGCATAACGTTATGTGTAGAAGCGACGGCTGAAAAATGCAGCGGGGGAGGGGGAGGAAGGGAAGAGAGAGAGAGAGAGAGAGAGAGAGAGAGAGAGAGAGAGAGAGAGGCATCGTCGGATGGAGAGGGGAGGGGGGGCTGCGCTCTGCGTGAATTTCACCGGGTTAATATGAAACATTGATTTATCGACCGCGTGGGCCTGTAAGCTTTATTGCGAATCTAAATACACGTAGCGTATTCGTTAAAATAGAAACGGTGGTTGGAAGGGGAGGGAGGGAAGGAGTGAAACATTTGAACATTTGAAAATAACATTTATTCGCGGTATCGAATGGAATGGAAATTTAACTATCGGTGCAATATTGTTTTTTTCCTTTTTTTTTTAAATTTACTAAAGTAATTTGATTTTCGTTGTTTTTCAAAGAATTATTTAGTTTCCGTTCCATTTTTTTTATTATTATTATTGCATTTATTTTTTAATTAGAAAAAATTTGTTTTAATTCTTTATTAGAATGTATATATATATATATCCTGAAAAATAATCCTATCATTCATATTCCATAATTTTATTTTAATAACATTTGTACAGAGAATTGTAAACTCAATAAAAATATTCCAATTACTAAAAATTATTGAATTAATCGATAGAATGATAATTGAATTAATAAAATTTGCCAGTATATAATCAGACAATAATTTATAAGTAAATATATTTGCCATTTTTAATAAATAATTATTACAATATGAAGATTGTTTCTTAAATTTTATTAAATCTGTATTTAAAATTTTATTAAAGATATGTATATATATCTTTTCATCTTTCTCATGATAATATTATATCGAGTAACTTAATATTTTAAATTCTTTCAATAAAAGAAAAAAAGTTTATTATTATTTAAAAAGTGACATATATAATGCAATACCAGATAATCAAGATAGACGAGTCTAAAAATAATAAGAGTATTTTTATTATTTCTTTATTTCTTAAGAATATTAATCTAATTGAAAATGAATAAAATGAATAAAAATTAACGAAATCCATCGCACGAATACCTAATCAACAGAAAACGAATTTCCCCAATTTATACGAAACCGTAATCTTTCCATCAATTTCTCCGATCACCATTGACAGAAACCGTGGAGATGGGTTGGAGACACGGTGGGCAGGCCCCGTTGTTGAAAAATACATTTCGAGGCGGGAAACGTCGTTTACGACAGCAACGAAACCCGACAGATATAAATGCGCGCGTATCCTGGCCGAGGCCGCTTGAAGGAAATGGGATCCGTGGAGAGCGCGCAGTTGTGTATCGCGGCAGGAAAGTTTTCCATGAATATCTCGACCCCACGTACTGGCTTCGTGCCCGTGAGCTCCATCTCCTCTCCCTTTTTAACGCACGCGTAACACGCCATACACCGCCCACACCCCAATTCATTTCTCCTCATTGTCGACTACGATCCACGCCGCTAATAAATCAACCGAAAGAAATTAATATCCGTCTTTGACTATCGCCTCTTCCCTACGGGCAAATTGAAATCGTTGTAAACGCTTTTGTTCGAACGACGGAAATGGAAATTGTAGCGACCGGCGGACGATCGAACTCGATGCAATTTGTCGCGCGTAGCACCGACAACGTTTCGATGAAATTCTCCTTTTTTTCTTTTTTTTTATTTTTAAAATAGTTTTATTTCCTGTCTTCAGTCCGAAGGTGTTTGGTCTTTTGAGGATACTTTTTTATTTCCTAGTTGTTATACGAGTTTTGAAAATTTTCGGACATGATATCGATATATGATATTATTTACGTAAAAGCAAAAAAGTTTGCTGTTTTCGTTTGCCAACGATTTATTGGAATTTATTTTATCGGAATTTAGATATTGTTCACGAATAATTTCAATATTTATATAGTTTTAATCATTCACATCAAAATTATCGATAAATATCGAATACTTCAAATTGAAAAAGAAAAAACGAGGGAAACATTGTTACTCTCGTTTCGTTGAACTCGAAATGAACCAATGAAAAATGTAAATTGAAACAATTGAAAAAAGTAGAACGATCCTTTCTGCTTCGAATATTTATCATATTTATCATTGATTTTTTTTTTTTCTATTATAAATATGCTATTTCATTTTTAAAGATATATTCCATTCTTTGAAAAATATTTTTTTAAATCTCAAATAATTACGTGGATCGTGACATTTATCAGAGATCTTAATAAAATAAAATTTGTTTTCCTCGAGGAAAGATTATTTCGTTTCCAGCTTGTACGATCGTGAAAAAATGTATTAAGGAACGCACAAATGGTTCAAGAAGATCGTAGCCCTCATAATTTATTCCCCATAAACTGAAATGCTTCGACAAAGTACGTTCGCTTAACCGGTATTACGATTAATTCATATTAACGTCATAATAGGAGAGAATGTGTACGCTCGAGACGAGCCAGAAAGGTTCCGCTGCATTCATTGATCTCCTCTCCTCGTTTTCCTTTTTCCTCGTCCTTCGTCTTTTTTCTTCAATTAGTCGCGCAAAAAGGATCCGACAAAGAAGTAGAAAATCGTGCACAACTTTGATGAAGTTATATTTCGTTAAGCTGTTATTTATATAAAATTATTGCCTTTGTAGTCTTGACTTTTGTACAATTGGTTCTCTTTTATTCGATCAGATATATTATAGATATGTTCTACTTACGAATAACATTTTATTATATGTTATTTAGGATATATTCTATATTTTGATTAATTTAAAAAATTGATTTTAACGCATCTTATTTGTTAAATTCTGTTACTAAATTATTATTTTATTATATCTTTTTATATAAATTTATTATATTTCGTATTCATATTCATTCTCTTGTCTGATATATTTCACTTTCTTACTGTTAACAGTTTTTTGGAAATTGTAAAAAGAAATTATTGAATAATTTCTTGAAATATGCTAGATAATATTTTTATTTTTAAAAAAGAGATTAAAATCTTTTTTCAAATATCGATATTGTTCTGACAAAAAAGAATTGATCGAGATATTATTTTTTAAAATAATTTTACATATCATACATCTTATAATAGAAATATAATATTTCATATAAATGTAACAGTGTTACATATTGAAAACAAAAGTAAATATTGACAAATTAATGATCAATATTAATATCTTTAATGCAAAGATATCTATATTTAATCCAAAACAAGTCGATATCGATAAAATTCTCAAAGATCTATGCGCAGAATCCAATTTCAATTAATTCATAAAATATGTTCATTCAATGCATACAGTTTCATTTCGAGAAGCATGCGCCGTGATTCCACGTTTTATCGACGAAAATTCACGCAAGTTATACGCAAACAGACACGCCATTCTCTCCAGGAAATTAAACTACCATGATAAAAGTAAATAGAAAAATTCGAAATGAAAATGTTGTTTAATAAGACAAGACGAGGAAAGACGGATAGTTCAATCTTATTGCATTAACTGCATGCAAAATTAATATTTATATTTCGTTAGGTATTTTAATTCAAATTTGATTAAGACTTCTCTTGTATTGATTTGGAATAAAATACGTATGGAAAATACGTATGGTTAGAGCAATTTCAATTCTTGATAGATCGACAGTGCAAATTGTTATAATTATCTCGAAAATTATCTAACTTCGAATCCCAATAATATTGGAAATTTAAATTAATTGCAGGGGGAAAAAGCGAAATACAGGAGAAACTTGATTGGAGTGCTAAATATATTTGTATAACACGAAGAAATGTTAGGAAATTCGATATTACCAACCACACATTTCGTTAAGTTTAATTAATAATCATACCTATTAAGTTACATTTCAAATCAGTTACAGAGAAGTTGCAGAGAATTTCGAATTATGATAGAAAATAGGGAGAAAAAATGATATTAAATTTCCATGTTTAATATCACTACGTTATAAAAAAAGTAATATTTATAAAAATGTTTAAATAAATTAAATGAGGAGCATTTTTGAAAAAAGAACGTAATTTTATGATACATATTTTTTTATGAATAATTTATTGAATCATTATTTTTGTAAATCATTTGAAATATTATTTCTCATTCAATTTCGTAATTATCGTATTTTTTCTTTTCACTTTATTATATTTGAGATATATTTAAAATATTGTTTTGTATTATGAATTATAAAAAATAATATTTATAAAAATATAAATAAATTAAATGAAGAACTTTCTGCAATGAAGATATATAATTTTGGCACATATTTCTTTTTGTGAATCATTTTTATAAATCCTTATAAATCTAATTCTAATTAAATATATTTTTCGAAAATATATCATATTTCAAAATAAATAAAAATATATAAAAAGATATGTCGTACTTATTATTACTTATTATTACTATTTAGAAAACTTATTATTACTTATTACTTAACTTATTATTAATAAATAGTGTTATTACTTAAAATAAATTACTTAAAATAACTACTGTTATTACTTAACTTATTATTACTTATTATTACTATTATGAAAAAGTACATATCAAATAGAAAATAAAAATACATGTGAATATTAAGAAAATATTAAAATAATTCTACAAATACAACAAAAATGATATTTATAAATATTACATTATAGCAATTTATAACAAATTTCTTACATTATAAAACAGAAATTATTACGTTGTATATAAAAAGACTTGTCAATTATTTTATAGAAATGTTTTGCCTCGTTTTAGCAGCGGACACAAATTCAAATCAACAGGCACGCACAAACGCAACAGTTTTTACCACCCAAGCCGACAATACGTCGCAAATTTCCGGTAAAACGAGTTTCGCGGTACCAGCACCGCCTCCATTGGCCTCCGCGGAAAAGGTCCGCAGACTTTCGGATGGCGAGCACTTCCGGCAGCCCAATGTCACCGTTTCCGGCCACACGACCGTGCAAAAACAGCTACAGGAAGCGCAGACCCAGGCTCAGGCGCAGGCGCTGGCCGATATGATCTTGAAGGTGGTAATTTCTCTTAAGATTAATTAATTTAATTTTCTATTGAATTTTTTTTCTCATATTTTATCTCGTAAATATGGAATTTGACGATAAAATTATACTTTTTCCTTACAATTTTTTTTCTTAGTTGTTTTTTAAAAATACGTTTTAAATGGTAAAAATTATAATTCAATTCAATTCGTTATTCTTTGTTTAATGAAGCATGCATATATTTTGGATATAGAAACAAAAAATTAAATTTCTAAATTTAATTTCTAATTTTCTATTTAATTTTCTATTTAATAAATTATTATTATATAATTTTCTATTATATAAAATCTAATTTCTAAATTTCTAAATTGAAGGGAACCACTAAAATGGCTGTGAAAAGAACAACTTCCGACCCCGGGCAAAGATTGCATCTGACTTATCAGACATCGGTTCAATCGACGACTAGTCAGCAGCAACAGCAACAGCAGCAACAGCAACAACAGCAGCAGCAGCAGCAGCAGCAACAACAGCAAAATAATCAGGCTCAACCTCAGCCCACGGTTACTGAAAGTTTTTCAATGACAGGTTACTCTGAAGACGGTGGTTATTTTAGCCCAAGCCTTCAAGATGAGGTGTTTCAACAAGTCACCGCGGTTCCCGACAGCGTTCTTCTTCATGCTACTCAATTGGATTCACTTCAAGTGAGTAATTTTCATTCTTTTTATTAATCTTGAATAAAAGTGTATTATGAATCAACTACAAAGAAATTTATAGTAAAGATAATGACTCAAAATAGTGAATTGTTCAAGATATTATTATCAAAGACTAAATTATACTCAATAATAACTCATAAATTACTCGAATTATTCAGAAAGCTATCATTAGATAAAAATTCAAAATTATATTATATTATTATTAATTCAAATAAATTATTTAATTTAAAAATTCAAAAACCATCGTATGATGATAAAAATAATTAAATTAAAAAAATTTCTAAGCTTTTATATACATTTATATGTTATATTTGTATATGAAATTGCAAATTGATCAATAAAAATTTACAACTTTTATAAAATTATACATTTATATAAATTAGAAATCCACTTTCTAAAAAATTACATTAACGAAACACTTATCTTCCTTCCCCCATTCTTCTTCACACTTTTCCGCCTCATCCACTAAAAAAGATGAAACGTGACGTGATTTCTAAAGGTAACCAAGCGTGAACAGATACGAGCGTTGCTTGTGCCAAGACAGGATATATCCAGAGTCCTTTGACGAGCTAATTAGTCCTGTTCTTCGTTCCGTGTCAACTGTCGAAAACGCTTTAGTTTCAATTATGTTGAGGAGAGCAGGGGGCCGTTTCTCTTTCTACACTGTAGAATTTAATAAGGCGAATTATCTAAGTAGTTAGCGCCAATCGCACTACGACGCTTTGTACCGTTTGAAAAGCGTCATATCCGCCTGTGTGTTCTCCACCTATCAACCTCATCCTTCCTTCTTTTCACCCCTCGAGAAGTCTCGTTAACGTCTGACCTACGAATACCAGAGATTCCAGCTTAATGGTTGCACCCATTGGCGTGCCATTGGAACGCCTTTATTCCATCCTGATCTCATGGATGAATTCAATTTTTGACGAGAATTAATCGAATGAGTCTCGATATTGCCGACGAAACTCGAAATACAACGGAATACTAGTGGCTAATATTATTTTTCGAATGTAAATTTTTATGCATGGATCAGATTAATTCTTAATTAATAAAAAAATCGAAAACAGACAGAAATCTCTCTTGAAGTGTCATTTCTTAACAATCAATTAAACCAAATTAATGGAAAACAAAATTTGCAACAAATATAATAAAATTTAACCCTTAAATTGATAATCATTGAATCTTCTAGAAAGAATCTTATAATATTTTATTATGATAAATTACTTTTTAATACTTTTTTAATATTTATCATAATTCGACATAAATTCAAATTAATTTATATAACGTGAAACTTTATGCTCATCTCTTTGTATATTCAATATATATAAAACAATGATAAGAATCACAAATAAATAAATAAATAAATAAACGAATATCGAACCGTCCAGTTTCAGACAGCAAGCCTGTTACAAGAACAGCCTGCTGAGCAATTGCAAGACATCACACTGGAGGACCGATATCCATCGCAGCACACAGTGAACCCAGATCTGCAGGCATTGGTGAACTCCCCGTTGCCAGACTCGTTAGCCGAGTTCAGCACGTACGGTGCCCAATACACCGAGAGCCCGCACACGTTACCCACTCAGTCTCCTCTGCCATCGCCCTTGACGAGACACGACAGCCCGAGTTTCACATATCCAACGCCGCCAGCGAGTCAGGAGGGTCTTCTCACGGGCAGCTTCCCCCTGCTCAGCCCTCAAGAGGATCCGGAGACCGTGAGACAAGTCTCGTCACCGTTGTCCGCGGCTTTCTACGCTAGCACCATGTCCTCAGCGGCAGCTGTTGAGGAAGCTCTGAGCGAGGTGTTGCCAGGCGAATCCGAAGCAGACACCGACCTCTACGGGTCCGGTTCACCTAATCCTCACTCGCCACTGCCAAGCCCGTTATCGGCGACCCCAGCACCGTCGCCGTTGTCCTCGTTGCCGCCCTCCTCGGTCTCGTCACCTGGGCCCGTGTCGTTCACCGGGACGAGTTTCCCCGTGTCGCCGCATCACGCCCTCCAGAATCAGATGATGCCCAACTCGGAGGATCCCCTGCTCTCCTCGACCCCGAAAGACTTCACCACGGCCAGCCGGAGACGGTTCGAGTTCCAATCGTACAAATTTATCACCAGCCAGAACTTGGTCGACTTCGGGTTGGGTAACGGTAGCCTGGCCGGGATCGTGGTGGACAACAACGGCGAGTTCAAGCTGATCCAGACGGCGGGATTGCAGAAGACGAACGTTCTAGTGCAAACTGGCTCCCTGAGCCCCGCCCTCACGTTCAAGAAGGAGATGCGGCTGGCGACACCCAAGATGGAGCCTGTCACCGTGAACCTGGGCCTGAACGTGCAGACCAACCATCAGTACAACGCCGGCCAGTTCAATCAGCAGCAAGTGGTGAACCCGACCAAGTTCCTCATACAGACGAACGTAGCCAAGAATAATAATCTGAGGCAGAAGGTGGCCAGTGGAGGGAACCTGCCCATCCCGGTTGAGCAGATCAAGGAGGAGCTCTTGGACGAGGACGTCTTTCTTAATCCCAGCAACGTGCCGGCTGGCAGCCCTGTCAGGCAGTGCAGAAAAAGGCCACGCATGGACGGAGGGGGCCTCTACGCGAGCGCTTCGTATCCGTCTAGATTGAGGAAAGCCTGCGACAGGCATTGGGATAGTAGCTACACGCCGCCACCGATCTTGGATCCTTCCCGCCCTGGGCCTGGCCTGTACGCCAGGCTGCATCAGTACGAGAGGGATTCTGATTTCAGCTCCGACGATTCGCAAGGGAACGATGGCCCTCCCCCTAGAATTAATATCGGCACGAGGTATCAGGCTACGATACCGCCGGTCGGCAGTGACGGGGACAGAGGAAAGGGGGAGCCAGAGGCCGACCATCTGCTCTGGGATCCTGGTATAAATAACGTGCTGACGGATAACGAATGTAAGTAGTAGGATTTTTGTTCAAGGTTCTTGGATTTGGTTTATAAGGATACGTGAAGAGTATTTGAGATGCTTGGTTTTTGACGTTTGACGAGTTCAGAAAGAAATGTGGTGTAATATTGTTTTCTCTAAAAGGAAGGAATCGTGTATATTTGTCGAGTATAATGAATAATACGTAATAGTGTATATTAATATTTGAAAGTATACAGATTTTTCTATTAAGTTTAGCTATATATTCAGTGGAATATGCTAATGATTTTTTGTACCACTTTTACTCTGAATTCTTCATTTAACATTGGTGAATAATTTCTTTTCTCGCTTGTATATACGCATTTTTTAAAAATAAAAAGGTTGCTTACGTAGGATTCGAGTATTTGTGTAAAGGAAATTAAAATTTTATATATTGTATGTTAAATATAAATAAAAATAATCCGAAATTTTAAGAAGTTGCACTATAAATAAAAGTTTCTCAATTGAATCATAAAATTTGAAATCAAGTTTTTTATTCTTCTTAGTAAATTATTATGAAGTTTTAAAATCTCGTATATTATTAAAAATATAAAAATTAAGAAAAAATTCTCTCATATTTCCTGATTTACATTGTTATATTAATAAAATATCGCTCGAAGAATATGTATTTTCTTTTCAATCCAACCATTTTTATATCAAAATTTAAAGATTATTTTCTTTGCATTATAACTTTTTCGACAATTTCTCGAATTAAAAATTTGCATATCATTTTTCCTCTGAATTCCCCATTAAATATTCATCGCAATGAATATTAACAAGCTATTTAAAGCGATATATAATCAATATAATAAATAAAAAATTGAAAAATAATATATTAAGATTATTGTTTGAAGCCAAGTATACATACATTTATCGATAATAAAGTTTCATCGTAACGAATTTTCGTATTATGAATTTTAAATATAAAGTAACTAAAGAAAAATATAAATAGGGAAAAGAAAATTTCGTAGAAACGTTATTATTATTATAAAGATACAGTTATTATTTTATGGAATAAAACGCAGTTTCATCCGGTCCCCGATTAAAGCGAGCAATCGATTGATCAATGTTCCGCAATATTTTTACTTATACATCACAGGGGACGCATCAAAAGAATAAATAGATTACGCATAAACGTAGATTGTAATGAAATACTACAGGGTGGCAATACGTGAAGCGTATTTGCAATATTGCGATCGCCGCCATGGCACAAAGACAAATTACATTTAGTTTACGATTTCGCGCGAGAACGCGTTGTTTCCGCGCGATCAAATTCTATCTGAAACGAAAAACTTTTGTTTTGCAGTGGATATGTACCTACAATTTGCATGCTGCGCCGCGGTACCAGGTGGAGGAAGAAACAAAGAATACGCGCTTCATCTGCTGCACATGTGCAAAGGGAATATTCATGTACGATACTTTCACTTTAATTTCTTTATTCCATTCCATTCACACAATCTGCAAACGATCTTATTTTTCTCTCTTTCCTTCAATACGATATTTTTGAGAAGTAGATGTTAAAAAAGAGGAACAAGAAGAGTGAAACGAAAAGATAGTACGTCGTTTTTTATTAATGTTTTATTTCTAATGGAATAATTAATGATTAATTAGAAGAATTACGAATCGTGCTATCTTAGCTAGTTATGTACATATTACGAAATCATATTCATTCTATTTTATGCATTTATATGTTTCTCTATCCTTTAAGTTTTTTAATTTCGATATTTCACTTACTTAATGTAAATTTAATTATATGCTTTTACAATTACCGTGGTTTTTTGATGTGTGCATTACAAAAGAAAAAAATTACAGTCGAATTTATTATCTCTTCGTTCCAGAAAAGTACCTAGAAAAATAGAATGATCAAACAATGCATGCATGTAAGATATATGCCCTAATTATACTAATACACTATTATACTAATACTTTCAAATAATAATCATTTATAAAAATAATAATCTTAAAAACTTAAACGTGTAACAAATTACACTTTCTCAGACGATTTTTCATGATATTGCTATTACATAATGAAAGGACAGTAATGCGTTTATAGTTCTTCGAAAATCGAATCCTGAATGTTTATCCGGGCAAATGATTCTTGAGACATTCGGATAAATTTACAATTCGCCTCACTATTTCTATTTTCCAAAAATTGATGAGAAATAAATACTAAATCGGGCGTTTACTGTGCGTTAGAATTAATAATTTTCGATTCAATCGCGATTGATACGATCGATCGTTGGATTCCAGGAGGCCATGCTGAAGTTGATGAGACCAACACCTCCGTTGCCAGCGGAACATCCGTTGCTCAGTTACGAGTGTCACGAGTCGGACAGATGGACGTCGCAAGAGATGGACGCATTCTATCAGGGCCTGTTGAAGTACAACAAGGATTTCTCTGCGATCTCGCGAGACGTGGGTGGCAAGTCCGCGAAACAATGCGTGCAATTCTATTATCTGTGGAAGAGGCTCTGCCCGGACGAATACAGCAGACTTCGTGTTCGCCACGGTAAACCAAAGATTAAGACAGAGAGCAAGGATTGCAAGGATACCAGGGAGCTTCGCGACGCCATTGCGTCGGTCACGGAGATGGACTTTAGCGAAGACAAATCTATTCTTCATCGCACTCTGGTGAGTTCGATCGATGCCGTTTCTGTGAATCTGTTTAATAAAATAAACAAAAAGATCAATTATAAAAGATTTTTGGTCTCTTTATAATTTTTATTTATTTACTCGAAACATCTGTTATATGCAATATTTAAAATTGAATAATATACTTTTGATTAATGTATTATCAAAGAGAGATATTATAAATCGATTTAATGGTTAATAAAAGTTGGAAGGAAAATTGTGAATTTTTTTTCTCAGTTACAGACAAATGAGAGAGAAAACTCGGCTACTCTGACCACCAGCGACGGAGAGCTGAGATTATTTGCATACGACTGCCCCGATGTGAGTACCATTCACGTATCGTTCTCCATGTATTTTATCTTTTACCTACAAGCTTTACTTGATACAAATAAAACGAATACAATGATTATACTTGAACAAAAGAACAATATAATTTTTTTATTTTTATTTATTTTCTTTTTTTTTATTATCAGAAATGTACGATGTAATTTCAATATTTTTTTTTTTCACAAAAATATATACAATATTCGTTTTCTTTTATTTTTAACAACAAACATCGATCGATCGTTAAATGTCTAAAGAATTCTATCTAAAGTATTATTATGTTATCTTTATCGAACTTAAATTCTCAAACTAACCAATTTGTCGAGTATCGAGTACGAATCGTTCTAAAGAAATCCTTATCTATAATTATTTATACAAAAATTATTATCAATACGAACGAATGAGATTCTTTTATCTTGAGATAAGTGAAATGCGATCGATTCATACTCGATCCATACTCGTGAAAACGCGTGACAATACTCGACACGCGTAGATGATAACGCGTGAACGTTTAAGTGTCGCATGTGACTTGTTGTTGGACCTGTCGTTTCTACTTTTCTCTCACGCTTTCTTCTCACAATGGTACAAGCGCGTTGTGCGTGAAACCACACGTTTTTTCTGCGTTCTACTTATTCTTATATGTATTACTTATTACGTCATCGCCCGTCGTCGTCGTCCTCGTCGTCGTCGTCGTCGTCGTCGTCGTCGTCGTCGCCCCCTCGTCGCAGTCTTCGTCGTCGTACATTGTTGTTGTTTGTTTGTGTTGTTTATTTTGGCTTTGTGTTTCTTTGTGTTGTCAGAGCTTTAGCGGAAGTGTAACAGTAACGATGGCCGGGAGCACCCAAACCGCCCAAACCGGCAATACCGGCCACGCCACAGTCAACACCAACTCACAAACTCACACTAGTTCTGAGCAACAACTACCCGTGCCCACCCCACTTCACTACCCCTGCAAGATTTGCGGGAAGTAAGTCTCCAATCTCTAATCTAAAACGAAAAAGAAAAAAAAAAAAAAAA